GTGATGACGTGACGAATCCTACTTCCGGGCCTAAAGTAGTCTGCGTTTAATATGGCTTTTGTGTTGTTAACATGTTTAATATTATGTCTTTTCTTCTATTTAATCTCAAAAAGCTTCTAAAACAGTCAGTGATCACTGTTGACCTCCCTCGGCTTTTATTACCGCTAATCATTTATTTAAGCTCAGTTTTTAAAACCTTAGGATGTAACTACAGCACAGCCCATGCAGCAGTATATGAATGACTAACCTCGTATTGTGGATGGATTATCTCAGTTGTTCTCCTGGCTGAAGTTTGGACCTTTTACAGCATCCTGCCATGCGATTACATTTGTTCCTGACCACCGAGAACACTCACGTTAACTTTTATCGAGTGGAAAAAAAGTTAGCTTGTTTATATTATGCTAACATAGCTGTGTCGCTAGCGGTCACGTAGCACATCATTATAAACCAGCTAGCCAAACTTCAGTAACCCTAGAAACGTCACTGCTGTTTAGCTTTGTCTTCATTTATGTTGGAAGTGATAACAGAGCTGTACGTTTGAATTTGTTTCCAAAACCCCGCAGTCAGGACATGCTATATTGTATTTAGATAGAAGCTAGCAAGCTAACTTCCGGCTAACTTCTAACTCCGTTAAATGTCATAAATTCCATTTTCATGGATGCCTGGATGTTAAACTCAATTGTTACATCTGGTAGAGCAGAACGCTGATCATTTTATTAAAGATGAAAGACTTTAAACAGTTTTTCAACTCTCAGTAATGCCATAGTGATCGTTTGATATATGGACCTGCAGCGGAGTTTAGGCCCAGACACGGCTAGTGACGTCAGACTTAACAACCGGATAGCACCCAAGTGCTATAAGTTTTCACTTCACTCACCAAATTTGTTTTGACTTGCAGTCGATCATTTTATTTGAAACAGAGAACACGTGCTGTGTATTTACATAACAGTATCGCACTATATTTCCCTGTCTAAGGTGTGAGGATGCCCTACGCAAAAACAAGAGCCTGATTGGTCCAGACCAGAAGGAGTACCAGAGGGAGCTGGAGAGGAATTATCACCGGCTGAAGGAGGCACTGCAGCCTCTCATCAACAGGAAGATCCCCCAGCTATATAAGCCTGTACTGCAGGTCAACTCGCACAGGTAGGACCAAGCTGGCTTTCTCTCCATGTGTATGTACGATGTGAGTGAGAGTAGAGATTAATTTCTTGGTTGTTAAGTTAAATCAGTCTTTTTTTTAAAAAAAATTGTTTTGCTTTTGTTTTGTTTTGTTTTTTGCTTCTGTAAAAACGATGCAGCAAACGGACAGCTTGACAAGGTACTTTGGACTTCTCGGAGTACATTTTGTGTTGTGTTTTTGGGTTTTTTTCGTTTGCATGTTTCTCACTGTTCAGGTTAGAGGGAAATGCTTTCAGTTTTAATTCTGAAATTAAAAATGAATTGGATTTGTAAATGTTTTAGGATACATCATACTTTTTTTCGTGCAACTTTATTTATCAGTTAAGAATTTACCTGTTGTATGAACAGAACAACCAAGCCACACACAGACTTAGTAAAATCCGAATGAATGCAATTACCTTTTATTTATAAAGCACCAATTCACAACAAGTTGCCTAAAGGGACTTTATATTGTAAGGAAGAGACCCCACAGAACATCATTTTTTCAGTGTGTCCGTTCATTTTATTAATTACTTATATTTTTTATCAAGGATGTCGAGCATTTGTGATTTTGTTTACAGATTTACAGATAAAAAGTGTAGTGATGGAAATATACGTATATGTATATGCTTTGCAAGGCTTTAAAATTGCAGCAGCCAAAATTAGCTGCAGTTTGGCTGGGCAACTTCTTTATGTTGCCATTGGACACAAAAAAGGCTCGAGAGCACGGCGTAGCTAATTATAAAAAACGGTGGATTTATCGAGAGCACACCGAAGTTGTCTCTCTAGTGATTCCACAGCAGTACAAGAGCATCATCTGTTGACGTAATGACGTATAACCTCGGTACGTAAACATAACAGTGTTAGAATAGTTAACAATAATAAACAAAAACGAGAGGCAGTTTGTTCTGACAAAATTAAACATGTAGCATTTTCAAATCTACTACAAATACTTTGAACAATCACAGGCAGTGGGCTACAGATCAAATACTACATTACATAACTCAATCATCTCCAGTCAGAAAAAACGTGTATTCCCTGATTCATTGGTAAGGGGGTCTAGCTGTTGCTGAGTGAAATTGGTTGCACTAAAAACATCTGCAGGTTGTTGCAAGCCGTCTGCGGTTTTTCATTTAAGATGCAGATGCTATTTACTCTCAGAGCTGTTGTAAATCTTGAAATAGTGCAGCGCAAACTGGAAAACGGAAAATGGCTAGCAACTGCCACCAATCACTTGCCAAACAGTCGCAGAATATACAACCAGTGGTTGCCTGGCAGTCACTGACCACGCCCCAAGGCCTCGGTTAATGGGACATTCAAAATTAAGTCCACAGTGACTGACAGCAAAGTCTAGCAACTACAGCAACCAGAGAATACATAGTTTTCCCTCACAATATGTTGCCTGGTGGTTACTCTAGGCCTGTGAGATGGGTCAGCATTGATTTGTAGCATGTATGAAGCATGTGTTATATGCTTGTGCTCGTCTTGTGAGAAGGTAGAGCTACAGGAAGTCAGCTATTTTCACATACTAGGCTTTTCCAGATTTCTTCCTACTGCAGCTTTAACATTTCAGGTCAGCTTCTCGTGACAGCTCAAAATTCTTAGTATTTTATTTCTTTTTTTTGGTCCTCGTTAACATCTTTTTGTTTTTAATTTGCAGAGATTCCTTCAGCAGAATGAGTCTTCGCAAGCTTGACATTTGAAGATGAAGAGAACTACACACAAGCGCACCTGTACACCTACACAAACACTTAACCGAAACTGCAATATTAATTTATTCTCCAGTGTAAATAGGAGTGTCTCTTGAAAGTTGGTCAGTGTTTGGAAAAAAGCGTGTTTAAACAAAAGGTTGAAAAGACTTGCAGCTTGGTACGTCATTCCAGTGTCTTAATTTGTTTACAGACAAACTGTTACACAATCAGCGCAGCAAACAAGTGGAACTTCAAATTAAAGAGATACCTTGGCATTTAGAATTTCTTTTTGCTAGTCATTTCAGTAGGTAACAAGTGCTTATACTGTCCCCATGCTACCTTAAAATAACAAAAAACAAAGCTCATGTCAGCACTCACTCTTGGAACCAGTAGAAATGGCTGCAAGCTATGAAGAATGCTTCAGAGTTCTGTATTTCAGTAAAGTGCCAAAAAAAAAAAAAAAACCCCTTCTTTTCTGCCAAATTCTTACAATTTTAAAAGTCAAGGTGTCTTTTTAATTATGTACGATGTGTCAAAAATAAACTGTACTCAATTTTCATGTGTGCACTTTTTTTTTTTAATGGTGTAGCATTGCATTTTACAACTTGAAAGTTTATGTAATGCAAAGTGGGAGAGAAACCTTAAAACATGCAAAAAAATTGTACCAGTATTTATCATGATGCTTTATTATTGTTTTTAGTTGAGGCGCCAATGTTTTAAACTTAGGTACTTTAAACCTCATTGTATAATTTTATGTAGTTTTGTTTTATTTTAAATATTTTACTAAATAAATATTTTAATGTTCAGGTGGTCTGATGTGATGTTTCTGTGTTATTACGGACTTTGAGGTAAGTCGGCCAGAAACAAAGACGACAAAAAGCATGAAGTTGGTGTGAAGGTAAAAACTTTATTGCTTTCACTCTGAAACCCCGCTATGCCACTTCCGCATAATGAGAACTGGAATGGTACAGTTAAAAAGGACACAAAAACACAGTAAGGGTGCTTTTAACCAAGCATTTCACTTTAAATAATAAACTCATCTTTGAAAGACAGGTGAAAAGGGTTTGTAATACTTAGAAAGACAGCTCATCAGACCCAAGTAAATCTCTGAAACCATCACTAGACCTGAGATGAACAAAGTTACCTTTACTGAGTTTTTAAAGCTCAATTGATGCACCCCCCCCAAAAAAAAAAAATCTATCACCTGCTATGCATGACTAATCAATAAATTGTCACAAAAGACTCAGTCCATCATAAACAGGAAAGTTACCTTACCTTACATCAAGTTAAAATGTTTTGTGTCTAGGCTGTTAGCTCAGATATGGAGCACATTAATGCAAAAGAGGAAAATCTATTTTTTTCTTCAACTATAGTATCTTAAATCTGTCATGAGACAAAACTTGATATTACATAGGTTTAATCAGAGGGATGGTGATTTGTTTTAATAGATCAAAATATAGATATGTATATACATCTCTAAATATAGATATAGACATACATATAGATTTCAAAACCAGCAATATGCAAGTACAAAACTGAATATTCGCTGCTTGAGAACTTCCATCAGTCCGGTTTTAGTCTTAACTTTGTTGTTTTATCTCTAATAAACTTTAAAAACTGTTCTCTCTCTTTTAAAGGAAGAATGGAGGTAGGTCATAAGCTAAATCATGGTCTCAGTGGGCAGTTTTTCCTCCCCATAATAACCATGAACTGTATATAATGATATTTATACTGTGCTTTTTGACCCTCCTTGCAGCATAAACCTGAACTACAGCTTAAGGAGTTTTAAATTAGAGATTCAGATCTTAAAATCCTGACTAGTGCAAACATCTCACTTGACAGTTGTACACTAAATTAGAGACTGACTGTTTTCAGACCAATATTTGGTCATTTAAAAGTCTAATATTCTAATATTTATTTCAGATACACAAAACAAACAGAATTCTCTAACATTTGTTATATGTAGTTAATTATTGTTTATGCTCCACCCAATTCTGTTCAATGAGCCTTTTACATTTGTGGCATCCCAATCACCAGCTGCCACAGAGAATCTGCAGCGCGCCCTCTGGTGGTCAGACTATACAGATATCAATCGTGCTCACATTAAATCGGTTGGGCTCTATAGTAAAATATCAAACAAGCAGTTTTCCATAACATTGTAAAGTGTATATTATAAAAATCTGATAGTTCACTGATAAAATCAAATTGTGTCCTTCACTCTGACAAATCTGACATCTGAGCCTGAAACTGTTGCCTGCATAAACCACTAGTGTCAACGAAGCATGTAGAAACTTTTTAATTATTATTAGACAGCTGAGTGTTTGCTGTAAATATTTGTTGTAACTAAATGAGTTTCTGAGAATCTGTCGGTTTCACTGTATAAATGCATCAGTTTGAGGCTTCAGATATACAGCTAAATTGTACAGGTTTCTATATAAAAACCCTCACAAAACAAGGGATCAGTTGATGGGAAAAGCTTCAGGGTAAAAACTTTTCTGATAAACTGAAAAAATAACATGAGAACATTTTCAAATTCAAACAGAATACAGACTGCTGCACCCAGGGGGGGGGGGAAGTCAGTTTTCAACATTTTTACTTGATTAAATTTTAGTTCAGAGTGCTTTGCCATTTTGTAAAAAACAAACAATACAAAGTCAACATTGGAGAAAGACCAAAAAACAAAAATACACAACCAATCATCCCTAACGTACAGAAAATCCAATTGTCATTCAAAAAAAACAAAAAAAAAACAAACTTTGACCCCAACTGGGCATATCTGTTTAGAGTACCTGCACATGAGTGGATGAGAAGGTGGAAGCGCCTTGATCCCACCGTGGGGCTGTTGCAGGTTTAGTTTTCCTTGGCTGAAAAGTCACTTCAGTTTCAGTGTAAATGTGGCAGCCACAGTATGTCTGGCACTGTTTGAAGTATTGCAAAAACTCCATCTGTCTTTTGCCTGGGAGCTCAGTTTCCTGTAAGGTCTGTCGATTTCAGTGTTCAGGTTCAGGCATCCTTCTGTAGAACAGCAGGTAAGGTGTTGATGAGCAGCACGTCTCAGGAGAACAGGCTCGCAGGAAGTCCTCCTCCTCAAACAAACGCACCTCAGAGTCATCAAACAGCAGCCATTTCCCTTCATACTCCAAGAGGCTATTTAAAGCCTTCTGCTCTTTGGTCTCTGTGCTGCCACAGGAAGCCTGCGATGTCTCCTGTACTGCCTCGGGCTCTTTTTTAAGTCCAGCTTGAGTGTTTTGGCTCAAAATGTTGATGGTTTTTCTCCTATTACAACCCTCCGTCGAACCACTGCTAGCTGCTTTCTCTGTGTGTTTACTGCTGCTGTTCCCGAGGTCATAGCTGGACACACTCCTCTGGCCTCCCAAGAGTCCGACACCCCCCTCTGACAGCTTTTTGCTCCCCGATTTGCTGCTTGCCAAACTCTCGCGCCGCTGTCCTCTCGTATTCAGGCTGAAAGACACCTCTCCATCATCGTAGTCCAGCACCTTCTCCTTCACCAGAGCACCTTCTTTGTCTTCCTTCACCTCGTCCTCCTCCTTCTTCTTCTCTTCAGTTTTTGTGTCCTGCAGCCAGATCTTCACATCTGTTAAATCAGACATTCGGATGTAGGCAGTGTAGTGGCCACTGCTGATGGTCACACCACTATGCATGACGACAGCAAACAGCTGATAGTTTTGACCTTTAGTGGATGAGGACTGGGTACACCACTCCTCAAGGGATAAGGTCAAAGGAGTCTGTAAAGGAGTGTTCACTTTAGAAAGACCAGCATATGGGTCCAGTCTGGGAAGAGAGAACAATACAGATGTAAGAGTACATTTAGAAACTCGAGATCAAAGCAGTAAAAACTCATCTACAGCAAAGGACTGATTCTGTTTCTCCATGATGAGAATCTTTTTAGTCTAAGTATGTGGTACAGTAATCACTTTTTCAAACACTAGCTCAAATTCATTCCAGTAGAGTTCGTGTAGTGCGGCAGTGTGATAACTGAGACTTCAGTGGACTCACTCTAAACCGTTGGCAGAGAAGCGCTTTAGGTGAATAGTGATGACTTCAGGAGTCTTGTCAAACAGCAGACTCCTCTCAGCCTCTGTGTAGTGATGGCAGGTCTCACAGAAGTATTTATCCTCCCCAAAAATGCGCTCCACTGAAGCGAACTGAGATATGGCCCATTTCAGAGTCTTCAGCTCTGGTTTAGGGTCTGGTGAGACTGAAAAAAACAAGATGATAGCACATGTTTGCTTTGCTTGTTTTTATGTTTATGAGTTGCTTTGTAGGATGGAGAAAAGAAGATGAAAAAAATCTAAGCAACTTTTTCTGGCTTTCACTGACAAGACTGTCTTTCAGTTTTAGTTTCTGACCGTTTGAGATAAAAAGGGGGAAAATAAAACCCACACCCACAAAAAAAACCTCCATAACTACTATTTTACAACTAATAGTTGTAAAAATTCTCACCCTCAGAGAGGTCATCAGGGCTGCTGGGCTGGTCATCAAGCACAGGGACACTGATGTCCTGGAAGTCCTCTCTCCTCTCTGTGAAGCTCTCACACTCCAGACATCGAGTCCTCAGAACCAGCCGACCTTGGAACAAACGCTCCATGAGGCTCAGGCCCGCTGAACGAACATAAAATCCACAGTTAGTAACATCTATAACTATAAATAAATGTAGGCTTCTAATGCACGTCAAAGTACAAATTAAAAGTTAAAGTGAATGACCAAACATTTAGTCTGTCCCAACTTTTCTGCTTTTTTTGGGATGCTTATTCATTTAAATTCATTAATTGTGATATGGGGGCAAAAAGGCAGGAGATCAGTTAGGCTTGGGGCTTAAGAGGTTAAAGTGAGTCATTTCTTTCTCGACTAAACGTTATCTTCATAATCGCTGCCTCTTACGATGATCACAGGTCACACGTACCTTGATGTTTAGGAGCCTCGCTGTGTCCGGATGCATTTTGGCTGGACGGCTCTTGAAGGTTTTTCTCACTTTGGTCGTGCGTCACTCCATTTTCCTGCTCTGTTTTGTTTTGGTTCTTCACAGTTGTGCAGCTGATCTTTCCCACGCTGCGGAACTTGGAGAAAATACTTGGCTGCTTTCCAGACGGCCTCAGCCAGCTCAGCTTAGCTCTCTTCTTCCTCTTCCCATCTGCCTCTTTACACGTCTTCTCACCTTTCCCCTCATCGCCGCTTCCTCCTTCCCCATTTGGTTTCTTCGTCTCTTCCTCACCTGCCGCCTCCTCTCCACCTGCCGCCTCCTCTCCACCTTTATTCTGGCTGCTGTCCATGGTGATTTCACTGGAGGACTTCCTTTTGGAGCGAGTGAGGGGTCTATTTCTACTCAGGTTTTCCTCCGCAGAATCTGATTTCTTAGACTTCAGGGATTTGGATTTTTTCTTGGCATTCCCCACTTCTGTGTCGCTCTTTCTTTTCCCGGCAACTTGACCATCCTCTTCCGTGGAAGCTTTGGATTCTGCACCAGAGCCGCCGGGCCCCAAATCGAGACCATTCTCGAGTTTAACTTCCGACACACCCTCCTCCTCGCCTTCTACTTTCAGCTCTTTCCTGATAGTATCACAGGCTTCCTGGATATATCCCAGAATGCACTGCAGAACTTCCTGAGCATCATGCTGGAGATAACCTTCGTACATGGGGTTCAGCTGCCTGCGACACAAAACCACAAACTTGTGTCAAACTGACAGAAAATGGCAACTTTAATGAAAGTGTTCAAAAACACAAAAGTAAAACAAAAGTGCCAATCTGGAGTTTAAACATGTCAGCACGCTTACTTTAAAAATGATTCGTAACCAACTCATCAGCTTGAGCTATGAATGAGCATTAATGATGACAAGTTTTTACCTTTTAAACAGCACAATAATGATCAAAGCTCCACATTCATGATCCTACATGTGCATCTAACTGCAACTATGTGTTTAATCAATGTTATATGCATGTATACAATGTGACAATATTTGGGTGTTTAGTAACATTTAATATTCGAAAGCCATTAAGTCATCGTGTTAGAAAGAAGACAGCGTGGGTACAAACTGGTTACCTAGCAACACAAGCCTATGATCTAATAAGCAACTGGGTTACAAATATTTATTGAAACGGCCAAATCTTTACCTGAGCGTGTGCAGAATTTTGCGCGGTGGTGTGGCTAGCTCTCCATCGGTGAAGCTGTCAGGATTAAGCAGGAAGCTAGACTGCAGCTGCTCCACTGCAGTTATCAAAGTGTTGAAGCTCCCAAGAAGCTCGATGTGAGCTGGCAGAGCCTCCGGCACACCGTCTGACTGCTGACAGTGTGGCTGTAGGAAAATGACACAGAGTAAAAAGGTTACTGAAATATGCTTTTGTAGCTCAGAAGACAGACAGCCTCCTTTAATGCTGCTGCTTTTTTCAAAACTGTATATTTTACAATAAGAATACAGTGCACTGTGTCATAACTCTTTGAGATGAAGGCTACTGGACTTTTTGGTTCATGAAGGTTTTCACCTCTTGTCCAAAAGGCTTCTTCAGTTCTATAAACTTATGGGCAGTCCCACGTGATTAACTTTAAGCTCTGAAGACTAGAGAGCACTATATTGTTTAACAACTTTAAAATGAAGCATGCAACATCTCCCATCAGGGGAGTTAATAAGTGCTAAACTTTGGACCCACACTGTGGCTGTGATTTATTATGCACGTACCTCTTCGCTTTTCTCAGTTTCTTCCTTGGGTTTCTCCGTCTGGATGGAGAGATCGTGAAGCTTCTTTATGCCTTCTCTGAAGCCTGGGCAGTAATAAAGAACCTGCAGATGCAATCAGACATCAACACGTCATTATTGTGATTTTAAACTGGATGTGTTAACAAGTAATCCACACGTGGAAAACTCAAAGCATCTTCAAGTAATCAGGTTGTTAAATGCTGGTGATATTATGATGACACAAATAAGTGCGAAAAACGTGTCCATGACCTTTACAGTAATTTGTGCTTCAGTACTTAAAGTCCAACAGTAATTCCCATTAACCCACTAATGGTCACAGTGAAATATAATTTTCTTTACCAGCTCAACATAGTGGCACAAATCTGTTAAAAATGACTGTCCAAATATGAAGCTAAACCGTTCTGTTTTAGTCATTAGTCACACAGCTTCTTGCTTTCACATGTTGGATGCACTTCAGAATTATTCTAATTATTACAATAAGCTCTTTAGTCATCCAAAGTAATGTTAAAAAAAGTCCTGTTTAGAAACCTTAAAAAACGGATGGAGAGAAAAAGAATCTGGTTCTATACTATTCCTAACTGTGACAATATTTGGGTAGACCCTGTGCACGAGAAAATGCTAACTTCCTGGTTTGAGACCGGATGTAGGGTTGTACA